CTACAGCTGGTCAGTAGCAGGGAGTAGTTTGGTTTCAGTTTATAAAAGATTTTGTTCTGATGTAAGAACAAACAGTTTCTTTTGGGTAGCCCTTTTTTTTTTGTTTGTTTTAAAGAGGACGTATGCTTAACTGTTTGCATATACTATTTTCATTTCTCTGTTTAATACAAAGTGGGATGTCAACTTCAAGTCTTAACTTCATAAGTAGTGCCAGGGCAACAGAATTCATGAAACCTTACTGTGTAGTGATTGGCTTTGTTATCCAGAGTAATCCAGTTTCCACTTAAATCTTTTTCTGTAATTGAGGTGTTTCTGATATCTCATTCCTATAACACCAGAGAAATACCTGTTAACAAGTTATGTGCAGATAGGCATTAATGTCATTACACAGTGTGATTTTTATTTTTGTTAAAATGTAAGGTTGGAAATCGACTTTTTGCATGGTGAATTTCGCTACCAAATTCATAAGGGTTTTGTGTGCTGATAGAAATTGCATCTTGCTAAAAATGCAGTAATCTATATAAAGAGCACGTGATGTAGTTAGGGAGGAGATTCAGCAGCCTTTAATAGGAAGTAATGGCTCTATTTTGTATATTTATGATTCAGGAAGAAATCGGCACTAGCACTTTAAATACTTGGTCAGCTGTAGAAGGAGATTCGAGCACAGTACTGCTTCCTTCCAGTGCCCCACTTGGTAGGTTGAGGTTGCTACAACTACACAGTGCATGTTGGGATAACCTCAGAAACTATTTGTGTAGCCCTGTCACTTTAAAAATACATCAATATTGCACATGTTCACCGGGGAGAGGTATGGAAAATTTGAACCTGTGTCAAGCAGCCAGTCACTTGCATCTTGCATGTGTGCGTGTTGTGAAAGAAAATTGGGGGGTGTCTGCATTCATTCTCTTTGACACTCATTTACTTAAAATGTGACCAAATCACTGCTTTTGGTTTGAACTCAAGATTTGCTAGGTATTCTTTCACTCTTTTTTTTTTTTTTTTTTTTTTTTGATTCAGGTGGGACCTAATGGTGAGGTAGGTCACCTGCTCAACACTGGCAGAATGTAGTTACTAATGATTTAAAATTAAGTGGCTGGGAGTGATTACCGAGCGATTACTTAAGCCCTTACTGACTTTCAGAAGTGCCTAGGTTTGCTCTGATTCTTTAATTACTAAAATCTAGATTTAGTGCCAGGGAAGCACGCACCTATAACAACTGCCTGATTACACTGCATGGATTGGGAGTTAGAACTTGGAGGAGAAAAGAAGAAATAAAAGTGTTGATTCCTAAAGGCAGAGCTCAGCACAGAATTAAATTTGAGAGCTGTGGCAGGATCATTTTCAGTTTTCTTCCATGGACAGTAAACCATACATTGAACATGAGAGCTGAAGGAAGACACCACCAACAGTGGCTGTATCTCTCTGGGTAAAGCTTTCTGTGAGGACTGAAACAACACTGTGGGCAAACACAGTGTTTCCAAACTTCACTGTGAAGGGCTGCAGGGACACAAGGGAAGAAAGAACATAGGCACCTTTTATTTCAGTTTGTAAGACTCTATATGACTACAAGAAGTGGCATACCATTGTAAGACAGGGTCTAGAGCTCTGAAGCATGCTATAACCTGGGTTTTTCTGTCTTGCTGGAATGTTCAGAGCAGCATAATTTTTTCACTTTTTCACTGTTCTAAGCAGAATGAAACTCCAGCTTGTTACTTGTTACCTTGGAGCTTGTAGAGGTGGGACTCACACATATAACTGCAAGGCAAAACTGAGACATTTCTGAGATTTACAGTTCAGCGCTTAGTAAGTCAGTACAGTTGGTTTTGGTTTTTGGGGTTTTTTTTTTTTGTTTTTTTTTTTTAGGGGGAGGGTGAGAGGAGCGCCATCATTTTTGGATGTTTTAGTGTGCCCCAACCTGCTTGGGGAAAAAAAAGCTAAAATCTGGAACACTATAAATGCTTTATTGGTCTATTTGCAGGAAGCTGAAGCATCAAGTACATTCTGTTTAGTTGCAAGTCATGTGGTTCATATTTCTCAGGAATAGTTTCTAATGTGTTTTACCCACCAACAAAAAAACTGAGAAGCTGGGCATCAACTACAGTTAATGCTTCCCAAGTTGCAAGGGCATGAGGAATAGTGAGAGAAGGTGTGAGTGAAACCCTTTACAGTAAGAGTGTCTATGTATATGCTTACTGACTTAGCTGCTAGCTTACTAAGGTGGTGCCTGGTTGCCTTGTTGAAAAAGCAAGTTTCTGATTGCAGGGTCTCTTGGGGCATCATTTGTTCTGATGAAGTAAAAAATGCTTCGAACATCAGATACGAACTAAGAGAAATTAACTAGCATCTCTAGTCATGATGAAACTTTTATCTGAGTTTCTAAAATATGAACAACTGTCCCTTTGTGGCATGTAAAGAAAAGAAGACTTAACACCCTCATTCTGTGTTCAGAGATGACCAAACTTGTGCTGACTTTTTTGTGGATTCTTCGAAGAAGAATATTTAACTATCTGCAGAAGTGTGGTGTTTTTCAATACTGATGATGCTAAACTGATACTAAGTGTAGATTTATATTAAGCTCAGGTTGCAGAACCATATTTCTTCCAGTTACACAACAGATACGTTCTGCGTTACATGCTAGTACTTTGTAGAGGTTTCTGCTTTGCTGCAGTCTCTTCTGCTGGGCATTCCTCCTTGGATGTTCTTTCTCCTAAAGTGTTAATTCTACAGGCCCAAGTTAACAACCCTGCAAAGAAGACAAGTGATATTAATGAAAACAGTAGATTAAGGGTGTTCATACATGAATATGTGAGGAAGTCTCCATGGAAACAGCGTACCTATCAGCAAGGAGAAGTACTTTTCAAAGTAAATGGCTGAATGCTTAGCTACGCTCAAAGTATAAATTATTAAATAAATAAAACCTTTATGAAAATATACGTGCAATTACGTCTTGGGTACCATACTCCAAAGTGAATATTTGGACTTGGAATTGCTGTGAAGAACCTAAGCTCTTTCTGTGTAGGCAGGATGCAATGCCTGTGTTGTAAAAACCTTTTCTGTGTCACTGTAAGGGGAAGGCAGTAACACAAAGCTGTGAGCAATGTACCTTGATGGCTGGGCAGGGCACCTTTACCCTGCGTGGGCCATTCTCTCACAGCCAAAGGAGCACCTGGGGAGTAGGGGCCAGTTGAGTTAACTGTCTTGCCCTGTGTTTCCTGTGTCTGAGGGTGGAAGAGCATGGGTTGGCTATTGGAAATGACTTGTGGGAGCAGTCACTGCCCAGCATGAAGAGTGGGTACTGCTATCAGCTGCTGGCCGCCTTGGCTGCATGGGCACAAGCTGGCTCATGTTAAGCAGCTGTCATTCAAGACCCCCAGGTTCTTTTCTGCTGAGCGACTTTCCAGGCACTCTTCCCCAAGCCTGTAGCAGTTCATGGGGTGGTTGTGATCCAAATGCAGGACCCAGCACTTTGCCTTGTTGAACCTTATACCATTGGCCACAGCCCATTGATGTAGCTTGTCCAGATCCCTGTGTGTGGACACTTTCTGTCCTTCAGCAGATCACTTCCAGCCAGCTTGGCACCATCTGCAAATTTACTGAGGGGCAATCAGTCCCCTTGTCCAGGTCATCATTGAATGTATTAAACAATACTAGCCCTAATACCAAGCCCTGAGTGACACCACTAGTGACAGGAAAGACAAGTTTAGAGAACTTAATCTGTTCAGCCTGGAGAAGGCTCCAGGGAGACCTTGTTGCAGCCTTCCAGTACCTAAAAGGAGCCTAGAAGTCCGGAGAGGGACTTTTTACAAGTGCATGTAGTGACAGGACAAAGGGGAATCACTTTAAACTGACAGAGTGGAGATTCAGATTAGATATTAGAAAGAAATATTTTACTATGAGGGTGGTGAGGCACTGGCACAGGCTGCTCAGAGAAGCTGCGGCTGCCCCATCCCTGGAAGAGTTCAAGGCCAGGTTGAATGGGGCTTGAAGCAACTTGGTCTAGTGGAAGGTAGCTCATAGCAAATAGGTTGGAACTAGATTAAGGTCCCTTGGGGAAGCAGCAGGTGAAGTTTATATTGCATTATGCTCTTGGGGGTGGGAGTAAGCAATGCTGGAGGTATATGATACTCCTCTCTGGACTGGAACTGTTTCCTCAGCATTTTCTTTCTCCACTGTCCTTACCTGAGGTCTCAGCTGACATTTCTTTGTAATTGCAAGCATGAAACAAAATGGTGCTTTCTTGGTAAGATTTCATAAATATTTGAATTAAAATAGTTTTTTTTTTTTTTTTTCTCCAGAGGGAATTAACTAATTCATCTGCAGATCAGCTCAAACTTTTGTAATATAAGTTTGAACTCTTTCAGCACTACAGTTAATGGACCCTTAGATGAGTTAAGAGTTGCGCATGAAGCTTTACTGGCCTCACCATAAATTTGTGGTGTTTATAACAGTGCAGTAGTGTTATGAATCCAAGTGTTGAATAGCTTTTAACTCTACTAGCTTAATTATCACAATTTTAAATAGGAGGACTCTTTTTTTAAATCTATCTACCGTAATGAATATGGAATAATAACTGAAGAAAAAATTGGTGGTCTGTCCCATCCCGTCTCCCCTCAAGGATCCCTGCTCTGATTAGAGCTGTATAAAAAGCAAAAGGATAGCATCAGAAACAAGAACCTACAGAGAGCATGTATTAGACCAGAAATAGATGGGTAAAATTTGCTACTGAGACATGATGTGAGCATGCTAGTCAACACTACAGTTCTTAATTAAAAACTTCCTTAATTGCTGTGGTATGTATAAAAATAATAGTAAAAAAGAGCACAGTGAAGAAAGCTTTAAAGAATTACTTAGAAAAATGCAGAAGCTTAATGGCTTTTTTAACTGCTTTCAGATGCATGAGACAAAATAGGAGATAGCATGAAAGTATTTGATGATTTCAGAAGCTGAGGATGGAGACAGGTGCTGTAGTCCTCTGGGAGGGGAAACTTCTCTTCCCTGAGATGGGAACAGTAAAAGGATATGCAATCAAAGCCAAGGAACTTGAGTTTGACACAACAAAGAGTGCAAGAAAAGTGACTGTTGTCAAAGCACCAGGTCAGGAAGGGTTATTTTTGCAGGAGCTCTCCAAGAGGATACAAACAGGGAAGATGGCACAGCCAGTAGGCACAAGATGGCAGTCCAAAGGAGAATATCATCTGTGTACATGAGCAGGAAACCTAGTGCTGTGCACCAAAGATAATGGAAAGCTTCATTTTTAGCTTGATGTGATTAGGAGGCATGTGTCAGGATTTCAGGTAATACAGTGGTATTATTCATGATGATTAAAAAAATGGTCAAAGGCTGACTTTTGGAATCATTATTCTTAAGTTGTCTGCTGACAGCTGGATATTTATGAATATCTATCAAGGGCACATGTTAAGGCTTTGGTCAAGAAAAGAGACAGGTCTGAAGCTAATGTTAATGTTCTCTCATAAAGTTCATATATATATATATATTTATGTATTCTCATGTTAAAATGAGAGAAGTCCCTTCTGCGTGTGATTGCAAATATGTCATAACCTTTTCCAGAATATCTGATTCATGAAACTTGTTAGCTAAAATAGACACTTTAAAATCAGTGATGTTTCAAAGCATAAAACAAAAAAGTTAAATTCAGTGTCATGATAAAGCCAAAATTGTTCCCTTCGCAGTCCCTATGCTAAAGTTATAAAAAGAAAATAATCTACAAACTAACCCCCCAAATCCCTCAACAACCAAACAAAAACCCATCCCATTTGGACTAAACTAGACTCTTCCTCATCTTGAAAGAGCTAGTTAAAACAGGTATGTTCCATTTCTTACCAAAAAGCTCCTTTTTCCCTTATCCTGTAGAACATGAGGGTACAAGTTCCCATTGCTACTAGTGGAAGATGGGAGGATGTAGTAATTCAAATTAAAGAGGTTTCCCAACATCATCTGTCTCTGTTGGCAAGCTTCTGTACAGTTTGGAGGTAAATGAGAAACCTAGTTTTTATTTTATTTTACTTTTTTGAAGTAGGAATACTTGCATGTATTTCTTAATGTGCAAGAGTTTTTCCCCATCTCCTAGTACTTTATTTTCATATGTTTATTGTGAGTGCTACACATCTTGTACCAGGTGTTGAGATGCGCAGAATTTCCCCTGCCATCTTCAAGCTGATGAATAAGATCCTGTCAATGTTCTCTGGACCCCATATTTGGGTGGTTTTCCTCAGCAATATTTTTCGATATTTAAAAGTAAGCGTTCTGTTCAAGGCAGTGTTTTACTGACTGATGAGAGGTTTGCTGCCTACTTAAGCAGTGAACCACACACAACATTGACTTTTTAATTGTGTCTATTTTTCAAATTAGCCAAATCTTTTTATTTGCAAGTGGGACTCCCTGTTCTCGTTTCCCCTTTTTTATTTCATGAGGTGACTAAAATGTAGTTTGCTTTAGCAAGAAGATTGTAAGCTGTCATTTGTGTTCAGTCTTTATGCATCAACAGTATAAGAACAGTAGAACAACTTCTATTGAAGGATATTTCATATAATGTACAAACTTGCTGACAGAAGGACGTTCCCAAGTCCAGGAGCATAGATGATTCAAAAAAAGGGAAATACTCGTCTTCTCTGCTTCTTAGGAGCTCGGTATACTGGGTAATGTTAATGTAATGCCATTCTTTTATTGATTTGCTCAGCAGTGAAATGGTTGATATCTAGTGCAAGTTTTAATAACTTAAGTGTCAATTTGTCACCCGTATTTAAATGGATGCATAGAATATATTACACTAGAACTATTTTCACAGTCTTGTGTTGAAATTGCTGCTGCAGATAAGAGATTTATTTTAAAGTGAAAGCTGGGATGGACTAACACTGGAAAGGGCTGAATGACCACCAGCATCTTCAAGACGAACTAAGAACAATTTCTAGCTGTAAAGGGTGAGATGTGATACTTAGATTTGTGCATGGGGTAGGGATTCTTAACTCTGGCACCCAGAAAGCTGCTGCCTGGCTGCTCGGACAGATAACACTGGCTGGTAGGCATGAGAGGGCTTTGTAAACCTGTCACTTTTGCCTAAGAAAACCAACTTTCGAAGACGTCTTGAAGGTAGCTGAATTGTTTGAGTCTCTTGTCAGAAAAGCAGAAGTTTGTCGTTTGAAGGCAGATTAATTGTGTGTGTTACTGCCAGCTTGCAAGCCTATTGCAAACAGTTATTAAATAACACTACGAGTTATTTTAAGTCTCTTTTCTCATGCTTTTTGGGGGGTTACCGTTTATATACCAACTCGTGCAGTCCTCTCCCTGCAGATTTTCCCTCCCCGCACCCGCACCGCCCCGGGTGTGCCCGCCCCCGAGCCCGGCGGGGCGGTGTGGAGCCACCGCGACACTTGCGGTGGGCAGTGCTTCATCGCTGCCGTCCCCCGCCCCTTCTCGGCCCCTGGGTGGCCCTCCTTGTCCGAGAGGGCAGCTGGCGGGGGCCGGGCCGGGGTAGGGTCCCGGCGGGGGGTCAGTGGCTGGGGGCGGCTCGGCGGCGGCCCTGCTTAGCCTCCTGAGGCGGCCGCCGGGCGATGGGGGGGGGAAGAGCCTCAGCCTCGGGGTCCTCAGCCCCGGCATCGTGCTCCTGGCCGCCGCCGCTCCGGGGTGCGCGGTGCCGCCGCAGAGCTGCCAGGCCCTCCGGAAAGTTTTCCAGCTGCGGCAGCTCGGCTCCCTCCGGGGCATTCTGGAGTCCCCGCGAGCAGGTGAGGGACAACTTAGGCGGGGCGGAGGGCGCACGGAGCGGCGGGGCAGGGGATGCCGCGGCGGCAGCTTGGCTCGCCCGAGGACGTTCTGCCCGCACGCGGGGCGGCGGCTCTGAGTTTGGGACCTTCGGCGGTGGTTATGGGTGGTGGCGGCGAGCATCCGGGCGGAACCCCTGGGCGCGCCTGGCTCCTTACTCAGGAGAGAAAAGGCTGCTGCGGCGGTGCGGGCTCTGCGAAACGTGGAGCACCCGACACCTGCCTAAACCTACCCCCCGTGCCCTGTTCCGTGCTGTGCAGCTTCGGCTGGGGCTGGGGCGGGGGGGGGGGGGGAGCGGGGGACGGGACGGCGGCGTGTCACCCGGCTTTCAAATGTGCGCGGTCAGACACAGATACTGTGTCGGTGCCCCGGTGCGAACCCTGAAGGAAGGGGAGAGCCGGTGGTATGTATGCCCCTTGGGCTGATGGAGTTATTGTGTGAAATGAGAGTGATTTACACCGCTGCAAGCGGTGGATCCGCACATTTTCCCTGCTAGATGCCTGTCTGTCGGTCTAAGTGAATAAAATGCCAGGGAAAGTAATGTCTTAATGGAAATTTGCGTACGTCCTCGCCTTTAAATCAACAATTAAACTTTTTTTTTTTTTTTAAAAGCGGGTACCAAATGGCATTGAGCACGTGTGTAGTAAGATGCACCTTCTTAGATGTGGTGTGTTTCCAGCCTCTTGAGAACCTCAGCTGATTTCAGTGGTGCTGATCACAAAATTAAAATGCACATACTTTCATGATCAGCCATATAGGATTGGAATTTTTTTTTAATATACATATATTTTTAAAGTGTGTGCATGTTTAAATGACAAGAGAATGTAAGTCAGTGCTTTCCTGACCGAAAATGACTTCTCAATGCAACAAAAGCTGAATTACCATCCCCCTCATATTGAAATATCAGGTCTCTTTTTTAACATAGTCTGTGTAGTTTCTAGTAACTCTGCAAGTTGAGCTAAGGCATACCATGATTATTTCTAAAGGAATCACTACAAAAGACAGCTTTTTAATGACTTTAGTTTTAAACATAATAGATAATAGTTGCCATGTGCATCTTACAAATCAAAGTGCTAAATTTAGGTTACCAGTACATTTTACAGCATGCATTGTCTTCTTACATTGTCCGTAGCTAAAGATTTTATTATTGTCTTTACTAAAAAGATAATCAACACTTTAACTGGGAAGTCTGATTAGACAGGTACTGTGCACAAGAAGGTACCTGGAAAGTGAAATCTGAGTCTAAGCTTTCTCACTGATTTAAATCTTTTGAGCTGGTTGGTTATTTGTGTCAATAACATTGGTATGAATGAAATGCTGTCAGTTTATCTGTGCTCTTCTCATTCTGTAGTCTGGCGAAACTATTACACTTTCCCTGTCGTTGTCATTTATTTTAATAGACTATGTTCACTCGTGTACTGGGGATAGGGAGGAAATCTGTTGCTTCAAGGGAAAGGAACTGCGGTACCTTCTGCCCTGGTCTTTGATTTCCTTTCCCCTGTAATATTTTTATAGCACCACTCATTTTTTCTTTTGACTTTTCTGTATTTCCTGTTTCTGAAGCAAAAACCCGTTTTGAATTATAAGAGTAATAAAAGAATTCCTTTCTCAGCTGCTGCCTCTGAAAGCAGCAGTCAGTAGGAGGTGCGGTACTGCCGTGTGGTCAACAGCGTTTCTCTGAAGGAATTGCGTTGCTGTGGGCAGCCTGGAAAACACCAGCCCTCGAGGAGGGTGTCAGAGTTCTCACTCTGAGCAGCTTTGATCCCAGAGGTACACGAAACAAATAATTGCGAGCAGCAGAATCTCTCAAGGATTGGAGATGACAAGAAAAATGGGGGTTAAATGAGTCTTTTAGGAGGTTTGGGCGTGATTAAAGGTATTATAGGCTGGAAACATAACATGAAGAGGAAAGAAATGCCACTTTTGCTATTGATCTTTTGAGGCAAGAAGTGAAAAGTATCTTAAAACCTTTTGTGATGGCACTTAGAAACACGTGTTTGTAACACATACACACTTTCTGTAGGTGTCAAAGCTGCCTTTGTAAGGTTTAATTTGCTTAAATTTAGGCATCTGGAACCATGTGAGTTTCCATAGACTCTCTGGAATACCCCCATGGGGCCAGCAGATGTGATGCCTCTGGGAGACCTGCATCTTTCTGGAGAGGCAATGAGCAAGGGGTAGGATAACTGGCATCTCAGATGCTCCCTGTGGGTACCTGCACTGCATGGTCAGTGCAGCCAGTGGCATCTGGGAGCTGCTCAGCTAGTAAATGTTAGGTGTTGACTTCAGAGTGAGCTCTGTAGGTCCTTTGCCTACTGTATTGTAGTGGTAATAACAACTAAGCAGCCTTAGATCAGTAAATCATGCAAATTGTAATTATCTTTCTTTTGGGGACTACCATGTGTCTGTACTTTGAATATATGTTAGCTGAAAATACTATACATTGTTTTATATAATTAGTTTTGCAGCTATAGTATGTAGTTAATACATCTTTAGAGAAGCAAATACACTGCTGTCATTAGATGGTAAAATGCCAGATATTTGCATGAGAGGGATCTTGAGATTTTGTTATCATTCACATGTTGCAGGATATCATGGTGTTGAAATAGGCAACTAATAAGATAAATGAGTATCTTTATCAAAATCAAGATTTGTATTGTGACCCCCCAGCAATGAAGAAACTTGATTAACTGTGCTGTCTTTTGTAGCACTGATTTGTGATAGTATCCGTCACATGCTATATTGAAACATTTATCACTTTCATAGTAATTTTAAATGTTAGTTGCAAAATTACTTTTTTTTTTTTTTTCTGGGCTACAAGTTGGGACTGTACAGTAAAACCTCAATAATTGAAAATCCTAAAAGACCCCTTTTATTGTATGGGGAATCAAAAATAACCAAAACATGTTAAATATAAAAAAGCCTCAAAGGTTTGATTTAGGCTTTTTTTTTTTTTTTAATATATTTGTGGATCTGTATGAATTGGATTATTAGAAAAAATTGTCGTCTGCAAAACTCTTCTTTATATATATATATATTTGTTTCCTATGCTCAGTTTCTAGTATTGTAACCTAAGCAAATTCCTTGAAGGATTCCACTTTTTTATCCCCATATGCTAGTAAAACTAGAGCTTTTAGCTGATTTCATCAGCTCATATTTCAGACAGATTAGATGGGAGCTTTCAACTCTCCTTCTTTTGATTGCAAATAAGATTTCTTCTCTGGTTTCCTTCTCTCAGAATACTTAGAACAGCAGAATAGAATGGACATTAAACCAGTGACTTTTTCCTTCCTGACAAAGGGCTTCCAGTAGGCACATCAGTGAATGAGGTGTCTGGCTTCTGTTTGCACCAAAAGGCTGAATTCTATGGCTTATTGAAAACTGTTGGCATTTGCTGAAATTTTAGAATCAAACAGTTGCAGATTAAGTGGAAAAAAGTGCTAGAGATAGTTTTCCAGTTCTCTGAAGCTGTTTTGTTTTTTGGGAATCAGTCTAGGCTTCTTTTCAGCAAATTTTGGGATGCCATGGATGTGGTTGTGAGAACAAGCATAAGAGTTAAAACTGTGATTAGTATAAGTTTTATATAATCTAGGAACTAAGTTGGTGTGTGATACGTTTTTGTTAATCCAAGTTAAAATATTCTTGCTAATTCATCTTAAAGTAACAGTAAAAGTCAGTTTAAAATCCAGAGCAGATTGCTTTGATACAACTCCAAGATTATGCTTGAATCTTAATATGGGTTTCCACTACATCATAAAATCATAAAATGGTTTGTGTTAGAAGGGAGATTAAGATCACTTTGCTCAAAGCCCTGTCCAGCCTGGCTGGTATCCTATGGGAGGGACAGACTGCCCTCACTCGATGGGTTTTGCCCATGCATTTTCTCTGGATCCAAACCAATGCTCTTATAATGCCAAGGCATTATGGAGTTTTAGGGTTCCCTTCCCCCACAGTTCAAGCAGTTTTAAAAACAGGAGGGCTTTTCACAGACAGCAAGTGTATTGTAACTTGAACACATTTTGTGCCATGAGCTGTAGCATGGCTGTATGGAGGGATGCCTGTACCTTGTTGGGGGATTGTCTGCTAATAGGAGGATGATCTTAGAGGATGTTAGGAAGGAGCCAGATCTGTACAACAGAGTTACCTATGGTGTCCTTTGACAGCAATGTGTAGAATGCACCATCTGTAGAAGTGCAGCTGAGAAATACTGTTGCCTTCTGAAGAGAGCTGCAGAAAGAGGCGAAGTGACAGTTCAGAAACATGGAAAGGGCTGGGTGCTTGAGGCTGATAGCCACCTCTCTTAGCAATGCTGAAGTACTTCACAGCAGTCATAATGATGGCGATTAACGGTAAGTCTGGAGTAGTGCTTATAACAAAAATGAGCTGATATTAAAGGGTAAGCATGAGAAGAACTCAACATCTGATACAGATTGCAAATCTGTTTTGCAATAAACTGCTTGTTTGAATAAACTGCCTGTTTCTTCAGGGCCTATGGTATTTTAGTGCTGGCTTTTAAAAACCTGTTTATTGTGACAATCCTAAGCCTGTTTTGGGATATTTCAGGCTCTGGATTTGATCTAATGGAAGTATTTGTCTAAGTAGGCAGGCAGAAATTTACCACACATCTGGTATTTTCTCCTTCTGGCAATTAATGTCCTCATCCTGTCAGCACTTGTTTGTCTCAAGGTACTGAAAATATGGATTTGTATGACTGAGACCATGAATGAAATTTTGAAATCAGTTCCAGGTCTTCTGGAACTAGGTAAACCCATACCTCAGAATAATTACATTTTATTCTTGCTGAACTGTCTTTTCTCCACCCATCTATATTGTTTTCAGGTGTAAAAACCTTTCCTGTACTGTAACTGTTTATGTTAACATATAATTGTTACAGGCTTAGTTCACTTCTTGTTGTCATGTGATCTTGTTTAAAGATAGATTGCAGCATAGGGCCTTCAGAATT